TGTCCCCGTGTCCGGGTGCTTCGCCTGGCGGTCGGCGGCGGGGCCCCGCGCGTAGAGACAGGCGGGCGCCGCTGCTGCCCTCCCCTGCTTTGCAGAAAAAAAAAAAAGCTAGACACAAACTCATATATATTATGTACTCTTTGGTTCCGTTTTTGGATATTAACTGTGTTATTTTTTTATACACTTTTTAAGCCTTAACTCATTGTTTTGCCAGGGTGTTTTATTACCTTCTGTTTATTAATTTGATATCCCGCAGCCTTTTCTCCCCGGCCCTTCCCGTCCCCCCCCCACCTCCATCCTTGCCTCTGGTTCTTTGTTTCCGAATCGATGTTGTACGATACTCAATATTGTAATCTTTTTTGTCAGCATGTTAATACTGTGTAAATATGCCTCTTATACATACTGTTAACACTTCTCTCCCCCCTCCCCCCCAACCTCTCCCCCTTCCCCGTTTTGGGGCTTTTTTTTTTTTTTAATTTTCCTCGGTGGAGATCCAGGCCACATGTCTCTAGAGTTAGTTATTACCTTATTAAAAAAAGGAGAGAGCGGGAGAGAGAGAGAGAGAGAGAAAAAAAGTGGGGGGGAAGAGAAAACGAACAAAAAAAACCAACAAAAAAAAAAGACATCCCTCCCCGCCGTCCCCTGCCCTCTGTTTCGCGTTGTTCACAGAAAGGCGGGGAGGAGGCCGCGGCCTTCGCCTGGAAAGTTTGCATTCTTGTCGGCAATGGATTAAAACCTGCCAAACTGACGACCCTTTAAAACAAACAAAAAAAAAATTAAAAAAAAAAATTGCTCTTTGTATTTCTCTGTTGTGGAAGACAAAAAGAAAAAAAAAATAATAATAAACCTGTACATGCAAACTTTGGCAAGGCTGTCAGGTGTGTGATGGGGTGAGGAGGCTTTCGAGGCCAGCTTGCTCCCTGCCCTGCTCCGCATGGCCCCGGGGCAGGATTTTATGCCCTTGGGGTGGGATTTTTATGGCCCCCGCCTGGCATGGGGCAGGACACCGGCCGCGGCTGAAGCACTGCCTGCACCATGGGGCCTGGCCAGCCTCAGCTGGCACCCAGGGCTGCAAGTCTGGGGGACTCTGAGGGGGGCACAAGCAAGTCAGTGCTGCTCATGGGGCACCATCTCCAGGAGCACATCACCATGGGTGCTTGCTCCGGGGGGCGCCGTTGCCATGGGTATGAGCTCCAGGAGCACCATCACCATGGGTGTGAGCTCCATGGGCACATCACTGTGAGTCTCTGCTCCAGGGACATACCACCATGGGTAAGTACTCCAGGAGCTCCATCACCATGGGCATGAACTCCAGGGGCATCATCTCCAGGGGCACAGCACCATGGGCGTGAGCTCCAGGAGCACCATCACCATGGGTGTGAGCTCCATGGGCACATCACTGTGAGTCTCTGCTCCAGGGACATACCACCATGGGTATGTGCTCCAGGAGCACCATCACCATGGGCATGAGCTCCACGGGCATCATCTCCAGAGGCACATCACCATGGGTATGAGTTCCAGGAGCACCATCACCATGGGTACCAGCTCCAGGGGGATTATCGTCTCCAGGGGCACAGCACCATGGGTATGAGCTCCTGGGGCATATCACCATGGACACAGGGTCCGGGGGCACCCTCACCATTGGTATGAGTTCCAGGGACATCATCTCCAGGGGCACAAGGTCCAGGGGCACATCACCATGGCTACCATAACCATAGGTCTGAGCTCCAGGGACACATCTCCATGGGTACAAACTCCAGGGGCACCATCACCATGGGTATGAGCTCCAGGGGCACCATCACCATGGGTACCAGCACCAGGGACATCACTTCCATGGACACATTGCCATGGGGCCCAGCTCTGGGGACATCATTTCCAGGCACACATCACCATGGGCACCAGCTCCACGGACTTCATCTCTGGGGACATCAGCACCACAAGTACCACCTCCAGGGACATCATTTCCACAGACACACTGCCATGGGTCCCAGCTGCACAGACACCTTCACCAGGGCAACCATCTCCAGGGACAGCCTCACCATGGGGGCAGTCTCCAGGGGCACCAGCACTCAAGTCCCATCTCTAGGAGTCCCATCACCAAGGCTGCCTGCTTTGTCATCTCCAGCAACACATCCCAGTTAAGGCCTGGACGTGGGGGTTCTTGGGGACAACCTGAAGACACTTAGGAGCCCCTGTGCATAGACAGGCATGCCTCCCCCTCCACCCCAAGCTCCCATTCAGCCTTTTAGGTCCAAATTTCAGTTCCCTGCAATTTTGGGGTCCAGCATGGCCGCCCGGGTTGAGCCACACCAGCTCCCCAGGAGCCCAGCTGCCTCCCCCACCCCACCACAGGTCATCAGGCCCATGCCCCGGCACCCACAGGTCCACCTCCCCCACCAGCTGCTCACTGTGGGGCTGGCTTGGGCACAGCCCATTTGGTCCAGCATGGAGGTGCCCAAGCAGCAGCCCCTCCATCCCAGTCCTGGGCAAGGGAGAGCTCAGGGACCACCCCCCCCCCCCAAAAAGCAACAGGGGGCCTCAGTTTATCCCATGCAGGACACAACAAGCTGAAGGAAAAAGGGGAGGGGGGAAAGGGAAGGATGGTAAAGTTTGGGAGGGGAAGGGGCAGTTTTTCTTTTTCAGTGTTTATTAAAAACAAAAACAGGAAAAAAAAGGGTTCTTTTTTCTGTGTGTGTGTGTGTTTTTTTTTTTTCTTTTTTTCCTCTTCTTAAAAAGACCATGGTGGCTGGGCTGTGGTGGGGCAAGGGGCCAGGGGGGCCCGCAGGGGGGATCCTTACCTGCCTCC